CAGTACTACAGGGTCCCTAAGAGTCAAAAGCAACTTGATGACAGTGACTTTGGTTGGTTTTTGTTCCTGCTATTGTTTTGTTCTGTTTTGCTTAGTTAAGTCCAAAGCACTTTAGTAGATCATTTGGGAAGTAGAAAGGAGGTAAAGGGCAGGACATCTGAAGGACTGATGTTCTTTCATGGAGCCAGGCCAACACATTATCTTTGCTCTCAGAGAAATTACAGCCTCAGAAGATAGCTACATGGGAGAAGGAGTGTGTGTGACTGTTGGCCCAAGGATCACTAACTGATAGTTTGTGAACCTGGAGATTGGACACAAGCAAAGAAACAAATAAAACATTTAGAAGAAAAGTCATGCATATTCACTATTGGGAAGCAAGTGTTGGAGGCAGGATGGGATTGTTTTAGCTAGAAACGGATGGGTTTTTGTATTGCTTTAATTTGGTTTGTTTTTTAGTGAAGAGATGCATTCGTGACCCATGCTGGCATATGTGCTGTGGGTCACAGAGTGGTCTGCTACCTGTGTCCTTTAGCTTTCACCTTGTTTCACGTGGACAGAGCATTCTGCTCCTGAGAGGCCCCTCAGCCTGCTAGTGTGAATGGCAGCTCAGCCTGGCATGCCTTGTCTACTGGTGGGTGCGTGCAGGTACTGCACTCTGTCTGTCTTACCTGCTGGTGGAGAAGGTGTGTTTTTCTACATGTGTCTTTGGGATTTCAGGGTGACCAGGGCGGACTGAGGACATTGCAAAAAAAGTGGACCTCCTTCCTAAAGGCCCGGTTGATTTGCTCCAAACCAGATAGCAACCTCGTCTTCAACATGCTGCAGGATGTGTTTGTTCTCCGAGGCCCCTGGCTGAAGGAGCCTGTCTTCTACGCTGTCTTCACCCCACAACTGTGAGTGCCCTGCGCAGGATAGATCCTGGGCTGCCATTTACCCGGCACTCACGCTGGCAGTGACATCCTCTTTCTTCTGCCTAGGAACAACATGGGCCTGTCAGCAGTGTGTGCCTACAACCTGTCTACGGTGGAGGAGGTCTTCTCTCGAGGGAAATACATGCAGAGCACCATGGTAGAGCAGTCCCATACCAAGTGGGTACGCTACAATGGGGCAGTACCCAGGCCACGGCCTGGAGCGGTGAGTGGAACAATGGAATAGTCTTCTCAGTACATGGCCTGACAGGGGCAGAGCTGAACGCCTCCTGCAGCTTTTATTGACCGACCTGTGCTGCTCGGGGCAACCAGGGCCTGTCCTCAAGACACCCAGGTAGCACCCTGGGGTAGTGCCTGGGGAAGGCCAATGAATATCTTCTGCTTCCCTTGACTATACAACTCTGGTCATACTGTGCACACACAAGAAGCCTCCTCTAACTGGGGTAGAGGCACTTTGGGAAGTATAAATAAATGTGTTAATTTGCACAGTAAAATTTGGCAGA